GCCTTCTGGACGAGTCGGGGCAGCCAGGAAGTCACGGGCTGGAATGGGCGGCACCTGGGACGTTCTCAAAGGAGCGGAGATGAACTTCACGTAAGTTGTAATAGACGCCGACGGACAGGGTCAGATTCTGGGAATTCTGGTGTCAATTAATAACGTCAATGAGAGGAGAGAGAGATGAGGAGAAGAGAGGAGAGAGAGAAGAGAGAGAGAGAGAGAAAGGACTGAGAGGGGAGAGAGAGAGAGATGAGACTTGAGTGAGAGAGAGAGAGAGATGAAGACATGGAGTGAGAGAGGAGAGAAGAGAGAGACGAGACTTAGAGACTTGAGAGAGAGAGAGCATGAGAGACTGAGAGAAGAGAGACTGAGAGAGAGAGAGAGAGCGAAAGAGAAGAGAGAGAGAGAGAGAGAGACTTAACACATTCACTGATGACTCCGCGTGGCCTCAGCTCGAAGTGCCTCGAGACGACGACTGGGGCACGCTGACGAAGGTACGTGGTCTGGGCATGGGGTCGGCGAAGTGATGGAGGACCTTCGCCGACGTGATCGTAGGCGCCCCTGGACTACACCGTCGCCAGGAGCCGCGTTCAGTCGACTTCGTCATCCCGGTCGCGCAAGTTCGGTGGGTGAGGGGATGGGGAGGAAGGAGGGAGGAACGGTAGGTGGAGATGTGAGGGAGGTGGAGAAAGGGGGGTGGGCAGATGGAGTGGAGGTGAGGGAGGGAAGGAAGGTGCGTCGGTGGGAAGGGAAGATTGGAATTGGTGGGGGAAGGGGAGGGCAGGAGGAGGGAGGGGGAGGGATGGTGGAAGGATGGTGGTGGTGCGGGATGGTAGGGAGTGGAGAAGAGAGGAAGGTGGGGTGGAGTTGGCGCAGGGGAGGAGGGAGGGAGGGGAAGGTGGTGAGGTAGGGTGGGGAGGGAGGGAGGGAGTGGAACGGTGGGTGGAGTGTGCGAAGGGAGGGAGGGAGGAAGGATGGGGTAGGTAAGGGATGGGGAGGGAGGGAGGGAGGAAAGGTGGGGTGGGGTAGGAAGGGAGGGAGGGATGGAAGGTGGGGTGGCGGAGGAGGAGGGAGGCAGAAGGGGTGGGGAGGAAAGGTGGGGGTGGAGTGGCAGGGGGAGGGAGGGAGGAGGAAGGATGGGGTGGAAGTGGCGAGGAGGGAGAGAAGGTGGGTTGAGTGGCGAGGGGTGAGGAGGAAGGATGAGGTCGGAGGTGGAGTGCGAGGGAGGGAGGGACGGAAGGGTGGAGTGGGTGAGAGTGTGGGAGGGGCAGTGTAGGGAGAAGGTGGCGGTGCAAGTGGGAGTGGTGGCGAGGGAGGGAGGGAGGGAAAGGCAGGGTGGGTTTTGTTTGGATGGAGGGGAAGGTGGGGTGGGAAGAGGGAAGGAAGGAGTTTGTAAGGGAAGGGGTTAGGGGCTGGGTGGGGAGTTTAGGAAGGGCGAGGGTAGGGAGGGAGGGGAGACGGGAATGAGGGCAGGGCAGTGAGGAAGCGTGGGTGGGGGGGGAGGGAATTGTGGGTTCGGTGGGGGAGGGAGGGGGATGGGTGATGTAAGGTAGGTGCTAGGGAGGAGAGATGGTACGGGGGTGGGGGCATAAGGGTGGGTAGGCAAGGGTGGGTGGGTTGGGTATGGATAGTACAAGGTGGGGTGGGTATGAGTAGAGGGCGACGGGGGGGGGGGGGGAGGAGTGGTGTGACGGGGGGAAATGGAGTTTGTCATGCATAATTAACAATTGCAATATGATGATGTGGCAGTTTTAGCTAGAAGAAATTAACCAACCAGATAAAGTGATGATGATTATGATAGCGTTATCATTTTCATAACCATCATTATCATCACTTTATCAAAAGTAATAAATGTTATCATTACCATAACTAATGAGATTAAACTGATTCAATTACTTTCACTCAGTTTCCTCATATTGTCAGTCACCCCCATCACATATGCAAGGGTTCAACAGACTTTAAGATAAAAAAGAGAGAAAAAAAAAAAAAAAAAACACTCGAGCATCAAGACAAAACGGGTTGCAAGACGCATATCTCACGACGGTGCAACTACGCAACATTTTATTTTTTTTTTTTTTTTTTTTCACGACTAAGCAACAAACATTTCAAGTTTTCTTTCACGACTACGCCAGACCATTTATTTATTTTTTTCCTTCTCTCTTCCTCCCTTTTGTTTGCTCTTCGTAATAACTTCTGACTGATTTTTTTCCTCACTTCTTTCTCTCCCTCTTTTATTCGGTTTGGCAACATTTATTTTTAATTTGTTATTTTTTTTGTTTCCTTTCCATTCGCTCCTCGGTCCTTCCTCCTTCTTCCATCTTCCATTCCCCATTTTTATTCGCTTCTCGCAACAAGATTTCAACAACTCTTCCCCCCTCCTTCTCTCCCTCTTTTTATTCCCTCGCTATATTTAACAACCTATTTCCCTCTTCCCTTCCTTTCCATTCGCACCTCGCACATCTTAACAACCTCTTTCCCCCCTTTCTTTCCTTTCTTTCATTCCCCCTCTTTATCCTCTCCTCTCCCAGTTACGTCATGGTGTTCCAGCGGGCGAACCAGCTGACGGGCGTGTGGGAGAGCTACACGCAGGAGTTCGGTTGCAGGAGTTGGGCGGCGGTCGTCCTCTTCGTCGTCCTTTGCCCCTGCGTCCTCTCGCTCGTGTCCAGGTCGGCCCCCAGCGAGTGCACGAGGGTCACGCTCCTGGACGCCGTGACCTGTACCCTCGGGTTTTTGGGTCAGCAGGGTAAGGTCGGCCGTGTCAGAGATGGGTCCGTGTCATAGGATGGTCCCGTGTCATAGCATGGCCCCGTGTCATAGCATGGTTTCGTGTCATAGCATGGTCCCGTGTCATAGCATGGTCTCGTGTCATACTATGGTCCGTGTCAGAGATGGGTCCGTGTCAACCGCATGATCCGTGTCATAGCATGGTCCCGTGTCAATGTCCGTGTCAACCGTGTCAGCATGGTCCCGTGTCATGGGTCCGTGTCACAGCATAGTCCGTGTCAACAGCATGGTCCGTGTCGCAGCATAGTCCGTGTCACAGCATAGTCCGTGTCGCAGCAGCATGTCCGTCACACATAGTCCGTGTCACAACATAGTCCGTGTCACAGCATAGTCCGTGTCACAGCATAGTCCGTGTCACAGCATAGTCCGTGCGGCAACACAGTCCGTGTCACAGCTTAAGCCGGGGTTCCTCCAGACGAACTAAATCTAGGAGCCAGACACAAACCTTCTCTTTTGCCCGAGCGGTGATGCTATAAAGAATTCAATCGTCTATGAACTTTATTAGATTTTACGCGTTTTTTACACCATCAAAACCAGCTCAGAAACAAGCCCAGATGCACCAGAACCCGAAAGAATATAACGGTAATGAGCATAACAGCAGTAGACTATTATTAGGAATTACTACGGTTATTACATCATCAAAACCGTTATGAAACCATCTTAGACGCACAAAGAAAACGAGAGAATATAAGGGGTGGTTCTCAGTTTTCAACATTTTCATAAGTGTTCAAATACACTTTTTGGATACCCTTCTCCCTCTCCCAAAAAGGGTACAAGAAAATGTTGATTTTCACGATCGACATTTAATTGTCTCTTCATTTATTTATTTATTATTTTGAAAAGCGTACATTGGTCCCTTACCCCCCCCCCCCTCCCTTAACGTACAGTTTGTACTCTTATGAAAATGTTGAGAACTGTGAACCAGCCCTAAACGAAAGTAAAAAGAAAGAAAGAAAGAAAGAAAGAATAAAACAATGGGCAACCAAGGAGGGCTCAGCAGGAACCGAGGCTGTCTGGTCAATGAACCACTTACCACCACGACCTGTTACGACCAGGGGGAGGAGGGAGAGAGGAGAGGTCAACGACCCTGCCCATGGCTACTGCGCTCACTGGCTTGGGCGCTATAGAAAGTCTTCGTTTGCTTGCTTGCTTTTCTGTTTTTGTCTGCTTTAGCTTGTATTTTTCTACTGTGACTTGCTTCTGTCTTATTCTACTTACCTTTGTCTGCTTTTACTTGCTTTTATCTGCTTTTGTCTGTATTGGTGGGATTTTGTCTGCTTTGGCTTGCTGATCAAAGTCTTGTTCTTGATTTTTTCTCTAGAATTTGGGAGAAGATTATAAAGAAAGATTTGCGATTCGTTTGATGAAAGTGAAGTGCGTAGTGTGGCTGTTACTGTATTATAGGTGTTGTCTTTCTCTCCTTTTGTACACACACACACACACACACACACACACACACACACACACACACACACACACACACACACACACACACACACACACACACACACCACACACACACACACACACACACACACACACACATACGTACAACTATGTAACCGCAAAAACTGAAGAAACAACAAAATTAACAACTTACGATACAACAATAATAACAGCTGACTATGCAACTGAAAGCCTAACAACAATTGCAACAACAACATCAACAACTTCAGGCCGTGTCGTGGCGTGTCAGTTTAACTTTTTTTTTATTCCTATTAATCTTAAGTGGATTTAACAAAGCTAAAGATAATTTCAGGTTTGGGTTTCAAGGACAGGAATCGCTGGAATGTTACTGAAGACATGCAAGTCAGCAGTCATGTAGAATATATATTACTTCATTTATTTTCACATTGCTAATGAGTTTTGCGAAACTATGCGCTTCTTTGTTATTTCAAATGTACTGTTTTTTACACTAGTTCCCTTGTTTTACTAAGATCCACTTTTGTTATTGTGTTAAATACTATTTTTTAGGGATGATTACTATTGTTATTGTATCAACTTACATGATAAAACTCACTCGCTTTTCAGTATGGTATCATTGTAATACATGAAAGCAAGTAATGATGGTGATGAAAATGCCATATTTTAAAATCGTATATCTAGTTGTTTTTAACTTGCATGATTTTTTTTGTTTTATATAAAAGATCTGATATGACATTATATATTATATATTGCAGCAGCATCCTCGATTTAACAACAAATGAAGCGTAATTTTGAATATGAGGATTGCAGGCCACACATGTAGCAAATTATGGCAAGCCTCTTCAGTGTTCCAAATTGCCTGTGATTATTAAACGGATATTGCTACGCTGTTGAAGGAATTCGTATCAACAATTGACGAAATACATGATTGCACAATTGACTGATTTAATCTAAATTCCCGAGTAATATTGAAGCGGACTCTATGATTCAGACGATTAGCTTCACTTTAAATATTTTTTGGACTAAATTGCTTTTGTAATTCACCATTAAGAGCCTCTCATTTCATAAACGAGAGAACAAGAGGACAATGCATAAGAATGAATGAGGGAGAGGGAAAGACGAAGGTAGAGAGGGAGAGGGAAAGATGGAAACAGAGAGGGAGAGGGAAAGGTGGAAACAGAGAGAGAGATGGAAGAAGGTAGGGAATGAGAGGAAAAGGGTAGGAGGGAAGGAGATAGAAGGAGGCCAGGGGTACGGAGAGAGGGAAGGAAAAGGATTGTAGGAAAGAGAAGGAAGGAATCAGGGAGGGAAGAAAAATGAAAGGAGGTGAGAATGAGAATGAAGGGGAAGGAAGGACTCCTATTCTTCTGATTTTCTCCTTGCTCTTCTTTTAATCCTCCTCCTCTTCCTTCTTCTAATTCCTCTCCTTTTTTTCCCTGACTCATCAATCGTTCCCTCTTCTTTGCCTGCGTCCCAGCCCCCCCCTCCACCGGGTTTTTCGAACCGCCTTTTCACGATAGCCCTCTCCTCCCCTCTCCATCTCCTCCTTTACTCCACCTCATTCTTGACGCCTCAATCATTCCCTCTCTCTTCCCCACGCCCCAGGCACCTCCCTGAGCTTCACGAGCGCCCCCAGCCGCATCTTCTTCCTCGCCTCCTTCGTCACGACGGTCCTCCTCTCTCTCCTCTCCATCTCTTTTATTCCACCTCTTCCTCTCTCTCCTCTCCATCTCCTCCTTTCTCCACCTCCTTCTTGACGCCTCAATCATTCCCTCTTCCCTTCCCCACGCCCCAGGCACCTCCCTGAGCTTCACGAGCGCCCCCAGCCGCATCTTCTTCCTCGCCTTCGTCACGATGGACCTCCTCTCTCTCCCTCTCCATCTCCTCCTTTACTCCACCTATTTCTTGACGCCTCAATCATTCCCTCTTCCCTTCCCCACGCCCCAGGCACCTCCCTGAGCTTCACGAGCGCCCCCAGCCGCATCTTCTTCCTCGCCTCCTTCGTCACGACGGTCCTCCTGTACTGCCACTACACGAGCGCCCTCTTCTCGTCGCTCGCCGTCACCGCCAACAGCCAGCCTTTCAGGGACCTTCGGGGGATCCTGGAGAACGGGAAGTACAGGTTTGGGTTCACCGAAGGCATCTCCGTCGAGAATGACTTCAAGGTGAGGTGTGTGTGAGTGAGTGAGTGAGTGAGTGAGTGAGGGAGTGGGTGAGTGAGGAGTGGGTGAGTGAGAGAGTGAGTGAGAGTGAGTGTGAGTGAGAGAGTGAGTGAGTGAGAGTGAGTGTGAGTGAGTGAGAGAGTGAGTGAGTGAGGAGTGAGTGAGTGAGTGAGTGAGTGAGTGAGTGAGTGAGTGAGTGAGTGAGTGAGTGAGTGAGTGAGTGAGAGAGAGAGAGAGAGAGAGAGAGAGAGAGAGAGAGAGAGAGAGAGAGAGAGAGAGAGAGAGAGAGAGAGAGAGAGAGAGAGAGAGAGAGAGAGAGAGAGAGAGAGAGAGAGAGAGAGAGAGAGCGTCATTTGGAGCAAGTCAGCAGTAATGTAAATATAATTTACGTCCAAACTTCTTAAATATCGTATTCTTCAGATAAAAAATTTGTTACATCCGATCAGTGGCAAGAGAGAGAAAGAAATAGATAAAGATTAAAAGAGAAAGTGCAAGGTAGAGAGAGAAAAAAATTAAGAGAAGGAAAAGGAGAGAGAGAAACGGAGAAATATGCGTGAATGTGAGCTAATTTGTGTGTGTTTGGATTTGTTTGTGTGAGTTTGTAGGTGTGTTTTGTCTTTATATATATATATATATTATATATATATATATATATATATATATATATATATATATATATATATATACATACACGTGTGTAGGTGTGTCAGAGTGTGTATTTTATATATGTGATAGTCTTATCTTTGTGTTGTTTGTGTATCTTTATTTTTGTTTGTGTGTATGTCTGTATGCACAGTATCTGACACTCCCCAAGTCTTTTTCTCCATCCACGCTTCTTCTTATCTTTCATCTTCATTACTCTTCTCCATCTAGCCTGTTCCATCCCTCCCCCTTTCCCTCTCCATTTATTTTATTCCCTTGCTCTTCATCCTTCTTACCTTTTCCTTTTTCTCCATCTCTCTCACTATTCTTTTTCTCCATCTCTCACTATTCCATTTTTTTCTCCATCTCTCACTAATCCTTTTCTCCATCCCTCTCACCCCCTCTTTATTCATCCTTCTAACCCCCTTATTGTTTATCCTTCTCACTCCCCTTTTCTCCATCTTTCTTGCCCCTTCCCAGTTCCATCTTTATCACCCTCTTCCCTCTTCCCCTTTATCCTTACTTCTCAACCTTTCTTCTGTTTCTCCTTTGGTGCCGATGAATTCGGGAAGCCTCACTTTTTCCTTTCTCCATCTTTATCACACTTTTCCTTATTCCTCTTCTGTCTTCTCAATCCCTTCTTTTTTCTTCCTTTCTCCATCTTTATCACCCTTTTCCATCTCTTTCGTCGCCAGAACTCGTCCAATTCCTTTCTCTTGCCCCCTTCCCTTTCTCCATCTTTATCACCCTCTCCCTCATTCCCCTTTCCACTTCCTTCCTTCTCTTACCCCTTCTCTTTCTCCATCTTTATCACCCTCTCCCTTCTTCCCCATTCCTCTTCCTCCTTCTCACTTCTTTCCTTCTCTTACCACCTTCCCTTTCTCCATCTTTATCACCCTCTCCCTCCTTCCCCTTTCCTCTTCCTCCTTTTCAATTCCTTCCTTCTCTTACCACCTTCCCTTTCTCCATCTTTATCACCCTCTCCCTTCTTCCCCATTCCTCTTCCTCCTTCTCAATTCCTTCCTTCGTCGCCAGGGCTCGTCTAACCCTTCTCTTTCTCCATCTTTATCACCCTCTCCCTCCTTCACCATTCCTCTTCCTCCTTCTCACTTCTTTCCTTCTCTTACCACCTTCCCTTTCTCCATCTTTATCACCCTCTCCCTCCTTCCCCTTTCCTCTTCTTCCTTCTCTTACCACCTTCCTTTTCTCCATCTTTACCACCCTCTCCCTCCTTCCCCATTCCTCTTCCTTCCTTCTCAGTTCCTTCCTTCGTCGCCAGGACTCTTCTAACCCTTCTCTTTCTCCATCTTTATCACCCTCTCCCTTCTTCCCCATTCCTCTTCTTCCTCCTTTTCAATTCCTACCTTCTCTTACCCCCTTCCCTTTCTCCATCTTTATCGCCCTCTCCCTTCTTCCCCATTCGTCTTCCTTCCTTCTCAATTCCTTCCCTTTCTCCGTCTTTATCAACCTTTCCCTCCTTCCCCTTTCCTCTTCCTCCTTCTCTTTCTCCATATTATCGCCCTCTCCCTTCTTCCCCATTCCTCTTCCTTCCTTCTTCAATTCCTTCCTTCGTCGCCAGGACTCGTCCAACTACCTGTACCAGCAGGTGTGGCAAAGGCTTGTCATGCCCCCTCCTTCGGGCCTCATGCACGATGACGTAGCTGGCCTCACTCGGGTCAGTATAGTGCTGTGATGGTGGGGATGATGACGATGATGATGATGGTGATGATGATAATGATGATGACGGTGATGACAATGATGACGATGGTGATGATGATGGTGATGAGGAGTATAATGACGATAATGATAATGGTAACACAAGAGCGATAAATATCATGACGGTAGTATTAGTAATGATGATGATAATAATGATCATAACCTTCCCACCACGCACACAAATTCTCCCTTCCTTACTCCCTCCTTAACCCCACCCTCAAATTCTTCAAACAAATCCTCCCCTCCCCCCTCCCTCAAACAAACCTTCCCTCTTCCCCTCCCACAAACCTTCCCCATCTTCCCCTCCCTCTCTCCCTCCAACCTCCACAAACCCTCCCAAAAATCTTACCCCCTACCTTCCTCCCACCTCCACACACTCCCCTCCCTCCCCTCCCCCATCCCCCTCCCTCCCACAAATCCCCCTCCCTCCCCTTCCCTCCTCCCACAAACCTTCCCCCCCCCCCTCCCAAACCCTCCCCCCCTTCCCCTCCCTCCCTCGCCCCTCCCACAAACCTCCCCCACTCCCCCTCCCTCCCCCGCCCCTCCACAAACTTTTCCCCCTCCCTCTCCCTCCACAAATCCCCCCTCCCCCTTCCCCTCCCTCCTCCGCCCCTCCCACAAACCTTCCCTACTCCCCCCCTTCCCCGCCCCTCCACAAAATCTTCCCCCTCCCTCTCCACCTCCACAAACACTTCCCTCTTCCTCCCCCCTCCCTCTCCTCCTCCACTCTTTCCTCCTCCTTCCCTCCCTCCCACAAATCCTCCCTCCTCCTCCACTCTTCCCTCCCTCCCACAAAACCTCCCCTCCCTCCCACAAACCTTCCCACTCCCCTCCCTCCCATAAATCCCCCCTCCCCTCTTCCCTCCACAAACCTTCCCCCCACCCTCTCCCCCTCCCCCTTCCTTCCCCTCTTCCCCTCCCTCCCCCTTCTCCCCCTCCCTCCCCCATCTCCCCCCACAGGTCCGACGGGAGAAATACGTGCACATGATGGACAGGACCAACTTTCTGTACATGACTACCGGCCAGTGTGACCTGGAGATGCTGCCGCGGCCTCTCTTCTCCTACCCTTCCGGTTTTGCCTTCAGGAAACGCTCGCCCTACACGGAGGTCTTCTCGAGGGCGTGAGTTCATTATTCATTTACCATCGTTATTCTGTTCGTTTTTTTTTTTTTTTTTTTTTTTTTTTTTTTTTTTTTTTTTTTTTTTATCTCGAGATGGTGAGAAATTTAGTTTGTTTGTTTTTTTTTTTTTTTCTTTTTTCTTTTTTCTTTCCGAGAGCGTGAGTGAATTCATTTTTTTATTATTTTCCTTTATCTCGAGATCGGGAGAAATTTATTTATCACCATTATCGTTCTTTTTTAATTATCTCGAGAGCAGGAATGAACTTATTCATTTATTCATTATCATTACCTTTATCTAGAGAGCGTACGTAAAATATTTATTCATTTATTATTATTATTACTTCTCGAGAGCCTAAGTAATTTTCATATATCTATCATCCTTTTTGTTTATGCATTTTTCGTGCGTTTTTTCTTTCTTTCTTTTTTTGTATCTATGTGTAAGGTGATGCGAGAGTTTATTTGAAAACTCATTTGTCTATTAATCCATCCATCTGTCTACTTGTCTGCCTGTTTGTCTATTTATCTCTCTATTTACTGTGTTCGCTAATACTCTGTGACTACGTAGTGTATAACTGAAATAACTATCTATCCGTCTACCTATCTGTCTATGTCTATCTGCTTATATACCTATCTATTCATCTATCCATCTATCCGCCTATCTTCCTATTTATGCCTGTCTATTTGCTTATATACCTATCTATTCACCTTTCTATCTATTCGTCTATTTATCTATGTCTGCCTATCTGCTTATATATCTATCTATTCATCTATCCGCCTGTCTACCTATTTATGTCTGTCTATTTGCTTATATACCTATCTATTCATCTACCTATCTATGTCTGTGTATCTGCTTATATACATATCTATCCATCTACCTTACTATGTGTATCTGTTTATATACCTGCCTATTCATCTATCTATCTATCTATCCATGTCTGTCTATGTGCTTATATACCTATTTATATATCTATTTATCTATCTGTCTGTAGCGTTGAATTAAAATATCTTAACAATTCCTTTCAATTTTTCTGATTTTGTCTATTTATTTCAATCAATACAATATTATTATCTTTGGCTCTGTTGCTAAAGCTATATAGAAAATCAACAGACAATCAAATTAATTAATAAAAAGAATATAAAGGTAAATTAAGGATTTATCGGAATATTTTTTTCTTTTTTCAAGCTTTGGTATATATTATATATATATATATATATATATATATATATATATATATATATATTTATATATATATATTTTTTTTTTTCTTGTTTTAATGGTATGGCGCATATTATATAGTTAGGCTATCTTTATGGACAGATATAATTAATCACACAATCAATTTATTTAATTAAAATCATTTTCTTATGTCTCCATGTCGCTTAAGCAGATGATAAGAAAAGAATAAATAAATAAATAAAAAGCATATTATTGCAACAATGTCCTGAACATCAAACGTATTGAATTTAAGCCTAATGTCGAGGGAAAATCACGTTCAAACCCCGGGTGCTTCATTTCACACGGTTTTCCTGCTTCACCTCATCGTCGTGTCTTCTAAAAAAAATAAATAAATAAATAAATGCACAGTTGAAAGTAACCACGAAGGCTTTTCCGTATCTGCCGTTTTCTAAACATCATGACAAAGAAAACGGATGTAAATAATAAAATTGGACCATAAACTATCATAAACGGATGAATATTAGATTACAATTACACTACGTAGGATCAGAGTCTGGTGATTATGAGATTCCCTGCGTTACTTTCTTGTTTATTGCATTGCATAAAACAATTACAATAAATATGTTACCATATTGTAACATTCAACAACATCAAATACTTCCGCATCTCTTTATAGAAAATGTATTAGATTACTTAAGAAAATTACTTAATGAACCTATAAACTTGATTCATCTAAAAAAGTATACGACTATTTATAGTGTGTGTGTTGTAGGGCTGAAGGTTTATAGTCACTCTATGAAACTGTGGCTCAACCTTTGGTGATGCCCAGCTAGACGACCCAGCGGAAGTGACATGGAATGAAATTTCCGCCGCGATGACGTTCGCTCCGCCACATCATATCAGTTCATACCAGGATATTTTCAGCAATTTTCATGTTTGATTTGCTTGAACATGGCAAAAAATATCTCAATAATGTTTTTAAATATTTTTCTTTTACATCAAACCATCTGTAGTCATACAAAATAACAAAAATACGGCCTTCGAAAAAAAAAAAACGAAGTGACGTCATCATCCATCGGTCACCTTTTGTTTCCGTTTAGCAGACGAATTTCCGTTTAATTCCAGCACTGAACACAAACGCACTAACGTTATGCACATTTGAAGAAAAAAAATAACAATAATAATTATTATTATTGCGATAATAATGATAATTAGAGACGTAACTGTAGAAACGAAGTCAACACACACACATATATATGCATATATATGTATATTTATATACATATACAAATGTACACACATATGGATATGTGCGTGTATGTGTGCAAACAGACAAAAGCGAAACCCTTCTATCTAGGATATATTCTAACAGGTTTAAATAGTACATATTCCGGGAAAGATTATTACAACAGCTGTTTTAAAAGTTCTGAAACATGTGAACAACAGATGTATATAATGTTCTGTGACACGATCTCACCACAGGTATACAAAATTAAAGCTTTTGAAGATTATTATAACAGGTGTGAATGAAACGGAATTTTGAATACATATGTATGTATATCAATAATGCATTTTTCTGACAACATATACTACAAGCTCAATTTCTTTCGGCAGATTACTCGGCTTAATGGACTCTGGAGTGACAAGGAAGCTCATAGAGACATGGCAGCCTGAGACAAGTGTGTGCAAAAGCCTAGACGTACAGCCACTAACTCTCACCCACGTGTTCACGGCTTTCCTCCTCATCGGCGGCGGTCTGGTTCTCTCCTTAATTATAATGGCTGGGGAGATCCTTTACAAGAACTTACAGGAAAGCGGTGGAGTTACGAAACGAGAAATAAATGGGAAAACAGGTGATAATGAGATTAAGATGATGCGTGAAGGCGGTATAAACAACGACGGACTGAGGACAACCAATCGTTTTACATGGGTTGACCGAACAAGGTTTAAAAAGTGTGTTTAGGGTTGATCCATTTATATGTATTGTAGAAGTATATTAGGGTAGGTTTAATTCAATATCTTCTGTGATCTTTTATTCTTAAGACGATGCTTTGCACAGGTGGTTAACAATAACATAGATTGTGGTATTATGAATAGACATGTTCAGTTCGATCTCGACCGGAAACACCTGGCGATGTTATAATCTTCATTTCCACGCATTCGCCATATTCTCTCCTACTTTTTCTTTTTCTCTCTCTCAGTAATCTCATCTCTCTCTCTCTCTCTCTCTCTCTCTCTCTCTCTCTCTCTCTCTCTCTCTCTCTCTCTCTCTCTCTCTCTCTCTCTCTCTCTCTCTCTCTCTCTCTCTCTCTCTCTCTCTCTCTCTCTCTCTCTCTCTCTCTTTGTTTCTCTCATATTAACCATTAAGTTTAAACAAAGAAAACACTTTCACTTACATGGTTTTTTGTAATGTTGTGGTTATCACATGCACATTTTTTTTTTTTCAAGGATATTACTTATAGTATCTTAGCGAAACAAATGATGCAATTATATAAGAAAATAAAATGCTCGTTCAACTTTGTAGTATTGCGCTGAGCATTGAGAAATAGTCGATAAGTTAAGAAAAAAACAAGAGTTGTACAATTTCCAAATGTATTTATATATAATTTTATATCATGTAACGGCTTTCTCATTCTTGCATATTCATTACTGGATCTGATGATTCGAAATATAACTTGCTTGGATTAGGATAAACCATCTAGCCATATATTGCCGGCAGTGAGCTGGTACTTCACTGTGCAAAGGGTACAGAGTATGACCGACGGAAAATAATCGAATGAAAAGCGTGGTGAACGTGATTCGAGAGGATAGAAGAATTGGGTTGAACGGGGAAGGGGAGGGAGAGAGATACTCATTAATGGACCGAGAGCAAGAAAAGGGGATAAATTTTTTAAGACTATTTGGTCAGATGTCATTTTCTTAACCTTTTTTAATATATATATCAACACTTTAGTGTTCTTTCAAAAAATACATTTTCGCAACACTATTTAGTCATCTTTTGTCATTTTCTTAACCTTATTTATATATACATCATCACTTTTTTATCTTTCAAAATACATTTTCGTGTGTCAGAATCAACGCAAAAGCTCCACGCCGAGGCTGATCTCTGGCGTGCATCGGCCTCCAAGATTCGCAAATCCTTCTGGGAAACATTGTGAAAGAGTGAGAAGTTTATTTAAGAATGCTTTCTTTAACCGCATATTTTCGCACTCGAACGTCGCAGCCCGCTTGATTAGTCGTGTGACGAAGAAAGAAGAAAAGGAAGTGAGAAATTTGGGGCCAGGAATCATTGCAAATTATCGGCCACTCATACAGTAGAGAACTATTAATACAGAAGGCAGAAGCGAGCAGTACATAGAAATTCCTTTGGCTAATCACGCAACTTGTTTCGAATAAGAAAGCATGGCCAAATTCTTAAAAAAATAAAAATAAAAAAATTTTCTTTCCGCTCGGGATCGAACCGAGGACCTTGCGCGTGTGAAACGCACGTGATATCCTCAACACCACAGATACGAGAGCATAGATATGTTTGATGATTTGATATGAATACTGGTTAACAAAAAGAGAAAGAAAGAGAGAGAAAAAAGATTATATAAAATTGAGAAACGATAGTTTGAGGTTAAAAAGAAAGGATAAAAAAAGAAAGAGATGATGTATACGCATTTTCAAATATAACAAAAAGTCAGTTTTGGTATATATGTAGTATATATATATATATATATATAATATATCATATATCATAATATATATATATATATTATATATAATAGTATAATACAAAAATAAATAAAAAAGGAATCGGCAATACGGTACGGATTGAACCGAGACCCAAGTGCGTGTGAAAACGCACGTGATAACCACTTGCCCTATGAAAATTGTTTTTTATGAAAGGGTTCACTCTGTTAATCTTCTGAATTAAAATACTGATTAACAAAGAGAAACGAGCGATAGAGAGAAACCTGGAAAGGAAGAGGTATACAGAGGGACGAAAAAGAGAGACATGAAAGAAAGGGAAGACAGATAGAAATGCAGGAACGAAAGGAGGGAGGAAAAAGAAAGGAAGTGAGATTGATGAGAGCATGCAGAGAAAGAAAAAAAAAAATAGAATTAGGGACAGATAGATATAAAGAGAAAGAAAAACAGATAGAGAGAGAGAAACATGGAAAAAGGAAGAGAGACAGACACAGACCTACAGAAGAAGAGAGAAAAGGCGCGAAATTCAATCATTCAGAAATTACACTCCGCCATATTGCAACTCAACGCATCATATTTCTTCACTACACAAGATTTAATTACAAGTTTCAGGAAGAGGCTTTGGGGTTCAAATGCTGCCTACCTGGACTCGTTCTGGGTCATTCATTTTACGAGAGGTCATTCATCTGGTTTCGAGTCACACTAACACACTTTTCCTAACAATAACGATAATGTATGCGTAAGATAAACACACACCACAATAAATAGATAAATAAATAAATGCGTAAGATAAACACACATACCACAGTAAAGAATTTTGATCACTACAACTTGATAACTACAACTGATAATTTCTAACATCCCCCATTTAACCTCCCAACCCCAGTATTAGCTGTTTGTAATATGCTAATTTTTAATGATGTATTAGTATTCGTCTTGATATCAGTATAGGTATTATTGTTAATAGAAATATTTATATCTATGTTTGTATTATTATAAGCATCAGTGTCATGACTGCAGATCACTCCCTGACGAATTTGCAAAAAAAATAAATAAATTAAATAAAATAAAAAAAATAAAAAATTAATGAAAAGGAAAATTTAAAAAATAAGAAAATAGATAAATAAATAAATTATTAATGGGAGATACATTGCATTTTTCTCTTCAAAATCATTTTTTATTGATCTATTTGTTGTTCTATCATTAGCAATGCACTAATGATGAAAAGCATTGGATTGATATATAAAAAAACGGCGGAGAGAGATTTTGTTTTTTGTTATATGATTTGTTCTATTAATTATATATTATTCTTCCGTTTTTCTCTTCTGTCTTTCTTTTGTTTGCTCTATTCCTTTCTTTTCTTTAATTCTCTATTTCTTCTCTGTTTGTCTGTCTGCCTTTTCTCTTTATTTGTTGTTCTGTGTTTCGTTTTCTCTCTGTCTCTCTTTCTCTCTGTTCTTGTTTATCTGTTTGTCTTTCTGTCTGTCCCCCCTTCCCCCCCTCCTCTTCTCTCTCTCTCTCTCTCTCTCTCTCTCTCTCTCTCTCTCTCTCTCTCCTCTCTCTCTCTCTCTCTCTCTCTCTCTCTCTCTCTCTCTCTCTCCTCTCCTCTCTTTCTCCTTCTCGCCATAATTTTAAACAGATTCTTTTTTCGGTTTCCCTCTCCTTCTGCCATCTCTTTAAAAATTTCTTAATCAATTCATAAAAGTTTTGATTGATTCATAGGAGTTTTAATTAATTCATAATAGTTTTGATTAATCCATGAGAGTTTGAATTAGATAATCAATTGAATGATTCGTGGATTAACAAACTGATCATTTCCTGAGTTTGAAATGATTTATGAGAGTTTTAACTAATGCATGAGAGTTTTAATCAATTCACGAGTCTTCATTGAATCAGTAATTAAACAATGGATTGATTAATTGATTATTGAAATAATCAATTATTTCATGAGCTTGAAATAGTTCATGAGATTTTAATGAATTCATGAGAGTTTTGATTGATTAATTGTTATAATCATTAATTGAGTTTTAATAATTTCGTGAGAACTTTATCATAAATTGCGCTTCAGGAAGGAAATGTTTTGAGTTATATTTTATATAACTATAGTTGTATTTTGAGGAAGGAAATGTTTTGAGTTATAACGTTAAAAGTATCAAATTCCTGATATGATAAACAATTTTCATGATGATAAGAGTATGATTGATAATAGTCATAATGCTTTTAATGATAATGATACTTCTAATACTACTTTCATTACTACTACTACTACTATCACTTATTATCATTACTGTTATAATGATAATCATAATAACTATGGCAATAATGGTGATGATAATGTTAAAAATGATGATAATGAAATTATGATATTGATAATGATGATAAAGATGAAAGCTATCATGATGATATTGATAGTGATGATGATGAAAGCGATGATGATGATGATGAGAACAATGAAATGATAATGATAACAGAAATAATGATAAAGTGATAATATTGACTATGATGAGGGTAACTATGATGTTAATGATGATAATGATAATCATATGGATAATCATGAAATGGATAATTATAATAACAATGATAATGATGAATAAATATAGTAACGATGATGATAAATATTACAATAATGGCATAATTATATGATAATTAATAGAATGATAATGATAACAAAGATAATGACCAATAATAATAGTATCAATGATATGAAGTGGCGGTAATGATAATTATAGTATGGCAAAATAATGGAAAAAATTAAAAAAAAAACAAAAAAGAGAGAAGAGAGAGAGAGAGAGAGAGAGAGAGAGAGAGAGAGACGAGAGAGAGAGAGAGAGAGAGAGAGAGAGAGAGAGAGAGAGAGAGAGAGAGAGAGAGAGAGAGAGAGAGAGAGAGAGAGAGAGAGAAGAGAAGAGAGAGAGAGAGAGAGAGAGAGAGAGAGAGAGAGAGAGAGAGAGAGAGAGAGAGAAGAGAATAAAAATGTGAGTTTATGATAGGAGAATTAGAAGCGACCTTGCCCGTTGAAAGACACCGTTTTCTTTGTACACAGAAGAAAGTACAGAAAACGAGAAACAGTAGAATGACATTTATGAGCACAAACACTTATAGACTGCCTTAGGATACTACCAGCAGTTTTCAAACAGCCATTATACACGGATTGTTGTCTTAAAAGCAAGATAAATATCAGGCGCAAACCACGCTGAAATAATCTGAAATTCAACCGTAAAAATGGCAAATTTACAGCAAAGTGGTGGTGATGTCCTTTCTACTGAGAACCTAAAGGATGCACGTGACTCAATGACAGTTAATTTTAGGGAAGCACAATAGAACGAAAGTTTGATTGCAATCTGTTACGTTAGTTTTATTAGGTCAGAGTGAGTTGCGTTTTTACTTCAAGACGCAGTAAGAGTTGGGTTAGATCCAAAGGAAAAATTCTGTATCCCCGTGCGCTAGGATTACTTTCATTCCATAGATGGCGCTGAAAAAATATGGCGGTTTTTGGCAGCTCATTCGTCATCGATTTTGTGAAGGAGTTGCCCTGTCTCGATTGTTATTTAGTAAAACGTAAATAATCTAGTGCGATGGTTGTACTTTTTAAGAGTTTTCTAGTACAAAGGTAAACAAATCCTCCAACTTTAGACTTTGTGAGATTTCCTGGTGTGTAAAGCTAGATTCATAGGATCGATGGACATGTAATTCATTGATAAATTACGTAAGAGTGAAGAGAGGGAGTGAATCTGCTGATACACGCGTGGAATTTCATCACCCTTTTGGAGATCAATTCATTTACCCGAAAAATATGGTATAACCAGAGCACTAAAAGGACGTCTTTGCTAAACAGGGGAAGCATATGATCACCAAGAAAAACTAGAAAATAATATCTGTTATGATGTAAGCCACAGGATGGAACTGACTACAATGCTGTACCAAGTCATTTTGGTAAATTTACTACGGATAAAAGTCAGGGTTATAGTAAAAAAAGGTGTATGGAATGATTACCTTGCCGTAAAATAAGACACTTTTCATCTATGGCGTAAGGTGCGCAATATAAAATAAAGAAGATACATGATAGAGAAGAGGGAAGAGTGACCCATCTTTTTTAAGTCCCTCGCCATGTTGACATTGCAAATGTAAACAAAATTATGACCACTTAACTCCTTCCTGCGCTCTCTCAAGTAGTTCATGTATTAATACATGTTTGTCAAAACGATATTTGGCACATTATTAGTGTCTGCTGTTCCACATTTATGCTTTCAACGGCCTTTGTTAATGTTGTTATATTTCATTTGTGTGTTTCAAGTTTTATTTGGGAATCGGTCTGAAAAACCTTCTGCGCATGTGCATTTTCATGTTTCTGGTTTGACAGGACAATTCCCAGGTATTTGGTGACAGAAGGCCAGCGAGAAATGTTTTGTTTTCGGTGTTGTGTCAATTCTAGGTTATTCTTGAGACTATAGAGTGGCAATGAAGAAGGAAAAGACCTTGATGACTAAATCCTGTAAAGAGTGATAAAAACAAAGCGATCAATAATAGACCGACCGACTGACAGAAAGAAAGAAGCGAAGGAAAATTGACAGTTCGGTGTATTCACGGCAGGAAAGAGCGTCGGACAGACTCGGCGTGTTGGTCGTCGGTACGAGAATTGCTCATGAACGACCCCTCGGGCGGGGGGCAGCAAGAATACAAAGAATCCTCAATGTATTCACAGCAAGAGAGAGCATTGGACAGAGTCGGCATCAGGCGCTTTCACATACCGTTCATATGCACACGAAGTACCATACATCTAATCATTTCAGTGAAAATAAAACTTTCAACATACCTATACAGAGGAGGAACTGGGGTGAGGGTCTTCGATATCAATGGAGCGATACAACGCCCTACACACACAGAAGCCATGGCCTAATTTGAAAATTTAATTTCATAGCTTCTATTTTTAGTTAATGTTCATTCATTGCTGTTCCTTGTGCCTTGTTTCCCCATGGCCATTAAATTAACCGCCAAACAAAAACAATGAAATCTTGACACTGGCCGTGACATCACAGGTGAGATAACAGGAACAGAACCTGTACATAAGACCCCACGCATGTGCGTTGGAGAATTTGGTCAGTATTCCCTCAGCGATCATGTGAATCTCGCCTTCTTTTAATATTATTTTTATTAACTTTCATAATTGAATAACTTTGTTTTTATTTATTTGCGAGACAAGCATATTTAATGAAAAGTGATCATTAATTCAATATCTTCAAGACTGTAAGGTTATTTTTCATTGATTCTTTGGTGATGCCTTTTTCC